TAAACCAGTGAGAGGCAGCAGTGCACTAATATGTTGCTAATGTGCAACATAACAACACAAGAAGAATAAAAGAAAACAAGTCTTAATAGACTTTTCACTCATTTCCTCAATGTCTGCAGTTATCTTTCACTAGTTGCATTCACTCGTTTCCCAGTCATCATGAATGTTGAATTTTCAATACAACTGAAATATTTGAGAGAACATCACATAAGCTGACTTCATATTCAATTGATGTTGATTTTCCTAAAATGTGTTTTGTTTTGTTTTTTACTCACCATTATAGTGATTAGCGTTCCCTTTGGTTGGGCAATTGGAACGTTCTTTATGTAACTATAATTATCATCCTGTTAATGCAGCAATGCAATATGAAATCAGAGTAATGTGGTTTCAAGGGAAGAAAAGTAATAAATGGGTTGCTTTAAGAAAGCAAACTATCTTCTAATTAAATCAATAATGTATTATTTATTTGTGTTTGTGTTAGTCAATTAACTAGTGATGGGAAGTTCGGTTCTTTTCCGCGAACCGGTTCTTTCGGACAGTTCGATTCAATAAACCGGTTGAAAAAACCAGTTCACCGGTTCTTTTACGCTCGACGTAATGACGTCATTTGCGATGACATAATGGCGTTAAGTCTATCGCGGGCTTAACACATTCAAATATAAAGTCAGTAATCATAACATCAGTCAATTAAAACTCATCTTCAGTTCTCTCTTCACAGCAGTTCAGTCAGTGTACTGTTTGAGTAAATAAATTACTCCGGGATATTGGTTTATTTCGACTCAGAGGGAGTGTCAGCCATGTTAAAAAAGTGAATAACTTAAGTAATTTGTGGATTAATGCTTACTGGAGACACGAACCGTTTCAAATGATTCAGTCAGATTTGGTGAACTGGTTCAACCGGTTCACTAAGAAGAACCGGTTAAATGGAACGATTCGTTCGCGAACCAGACATCACTACAATTAACTTTTGCAAAATTTATTTTTCATAAACACCTTAAGAAGCTTATAATTGGGTTTATATAATCCTTAAATAGTGTGTGGTAATATGCTAAAGTCACACACAGACTTAAACATTCAGCACGCGAATCACAACAATGGTAACAATTCAATTTCATTTATTTTTATTAATTGTAACAATAACCATTTTATTTGCTCTTTTTGTTGTGCTACTACTGACACAAGACAGCAAATAAAATTGGCAAATAAAAACAACTGTAAAACAAAGCAACTGCATAATGTATTCATGCCACAATGCACTCTGGGAGTCAGTGAGTAGCTATACTAAGTCATGAGTAAACCTAAATGAAAGGATCAAGTACCCCCTACAGTTCTTTTTTAGTTACTAGAACTCTCGTGTAAGTAAACTATACTAACTAAGCATCTGTCAGTACAACATACTATTCCTATTTCACTTTACTTAGTTTTTTCAAGGCAATCGGTTTGCATGCTTTTTTTAAGTAAGCCCAACTAATTAGATTTTACAGTGTGTATGACTTTTTTTGTCCATACAATTAAAGCTAATGGGGTCCAAATGAACATTGTCTTTGCATCATGACATTATTTTCATGACAATTTCCCTCAAATTGTCATTATCACAACGTGGCAAAAAAATGAAAAAACACTCACTCATTACCGTACTGTTAAACAAATAATGGCATATTATTTAAATTGTAAGGTCATTTAATGAGAGCCTAATGAGAATCACCATTGAAAGTAATGAGAATTACCAATAAATTAAAAAGTAAAATATCCTGATATATTGCTGTAATAAGAATGTGGAATGAAAATATGCTTATTTGTCATGAAAATAATATCACAGTGTCACAATCTTAAAGGATCTAAAAATAGGCAATATGCAAACTATAATTTCTTATTTTTTTGTTTGGATTTTGGAACTGAAATATGATCCAGACATGTTGGAGACTCACCCATCTGTTTTAAAAATTAATCAGAGAACAAAAATGTACTCTATGACTAACCTATAAAAAGCTATGCAGAATGTGCTAATGGTGTCATATTCCCCTACTCCTTAAATCCAATATGAAAAGCATGAAGATTGGATAAGAGTTTGTTCAAATGCAGTTTGCAATGATTTCAAAATAAGGAAGAAAACAATTAAATGAGAGGGAAGCAATAGAAAAAGCCTGTACAAAAACACTCGTAAAGGATCTAGATGTGATTCCGTGCTCGGTGCTAATGAATAGAGATCAATGGGAAAACCTTGAGCAACATATAGCAGCAACTCTTAAAGTGTACAGGCTGTCCGTTGACTCCCTGAAGGAATAGATGTTGCAATACTTTGAGGTAGAGAAGCAAATCCCTTTTCAGGCCAAGAATAGAGAAATTAATTTTAAAATATGGATCATTTTGGTTACACCTAGTATGCAGATGTCACATCAAACAAAATCTGATGATTGATAACGGTGTTTGTAGAGTGGGCTTGAGAGAACGCTCAATATGAAAATGAACTGGCCGGGTCAGCTAGCCTAACCTGATGGCATGTTTAAGTGATTGACTTTTGAAGGTGGTTAAAAGATTTATGATTCTCTCAGTTCATGTCTGAGTGACATGAACACTTCTGAGAGAGCTCCCCCCACCATAAAAGACAAGACAATGGTGCTGTTTGAGGCCACAGTTTTTTGGAGATTGAGTGATTTGTGAGAAGCATGACTGACAGGCAGCAAATCCCTGCAGTATGGGCTGTCAAACACAAATCAAATGCAGGTTAAGGGCGTGTGTGTGTGTGACTGAACACACGTGGCCTCATTGGGGTAATGGGTGAAAAGAGACCCAGGAAACACAACACGGGTTTTTGATACAGTCATCACAGTTGCACTGTTTGGCACTGCTCTTTGAATTTTGTGCTGCAAGAGATGAAACAGGAACTCGCTAGATTTTTTTTTTTTTTTTGCCATTCATGATGCACCCGGTTTAGGGCAATTTCCTCTAACAGTACAAGTCAGTGTAGTGTTCATACATAATTAACAGCAGTGATGCACAGCCTGAAATAAAGATTTCAGTTTGTTTTAGGAGTCTGTGGGGAGATATATTACAATAAAAATGTAATAAATATTTATTATCAAATGAATGCTTTTAAAATTTTTGAGTGGAATGAGCCAGGACTGCATTTGGGTCAGTAGTTTTATTCTTTCAAATGTAGCTGGACATTCTTCTCCCTGCTCAATCATGTGCGGATCATGGTTTAAAATAAATACTTGTTCATGATTATCTAATGACGTCATAAAATTAAAATATGTGTTTTGTGGATTCAAGTTTTAGCTTACACTGAAAATAATTTGGTGGTAAAACTGCTAGCAAATTTCACAAATAATTACAAAGAAACATCAAGTAACACATTAAAGGGGTCATATGATGCGATTTCATGTTTTCCTTTGTCTTTGGAGTGTTAAAAGCTGTTCGTGCAAAGATTAAAGTCTCAAACCCAAAGAGATATTCTTTATAAAAGTGAACGCTCAGCCACGCCTTCCTAGAACGCCTCGTTCAGACACGCCCCCACATATCTATGTCACTGTGTGGGAAGTGACGTAGAAATATGCAAAGAAAGAAGGCGTAACTTTCATTCTCGCTGTAATTTTGTTGCCGCCACCGCCATATCGTGGAGACGCTGTGTGTTTCGTTGCTAAAGCTAAATGTGACGAGTGGGGGCGGGGCCGAGAGCCGTGGGAACGGAGCGAGGCTGGTGGAGTAAGTGATAATGCACGACACCTGCACCACTCAAGTCCCACGGAGGAGCTCCGGAAGGATAAAAGGAGGAGTGACGA